CTTCATAGGAGAGAACAAGCTCTCACAGCCTTTTGAAGGTTCAAAGGGTAGCAAGGGTCACTACGCTCACTGCTGGCATCTTACCAAATGGCCAAGAGGAAGGTAGGGTGACTGATTTTCCCCAAAGCCGCATTGTGCTGCTAGGTCCCCACTGAAGAAATGGGAAGGATGCTCAATACCTAATCTCACTCTGTTCAGCATATCTTATCATCACCTGCTGTGGAGTTAAAAATCATACTGGCCAATAGAGGAGGTTTTCCCATTCAGAGGTATGTCGTACACATTCTAACATGATCATAGTTACTGAAATATGCAAGAGGGGCACATTTCATTTTACCTTGGACTTGATGCCTGCAAATAATTTGGAGACTGGGCAGCCAATTCAAATATCCTGATGGATTTTTATCTGACCAGGTGTTCATTTTGTTCCCTGCTTAGTTTTCCATCAGCAAAGAGCCCCTCCTCATGTTGACTCCATCGAGGAGGGCCATATGGTGGGCAATGCCTCCCCTCAATCAATGTGAGCACAATTACATTCATTCTCTGGTAAGACAGTAAAGGGGAGACACCTTTCCTATGCTGGGAACCTTGTGCTTGGAGAACAACTGAACATAGAGGGATGGAGGCTTCTTTTTCGTGTGTGGATGTGCATGAAAGAAATTAAGGGTGTTAGCTAAAGTCATTTATTTGCACACTGAAAGCTCTAGGGTTCTAAATTCCACTCCTCCTGTCAAAATGAACAAACCCTCTGGAGATAAATCACACTAATACACACACTCCTTAAACAATTAAGGCAGCTAAGATTCTGTTTGGGTGTATCTCCACCATTTTTTTTGCCTTTCTTAATAGGATGAAAATATTACTCTATTTTTATTCTATGATTCTATGCTAAAAACAGTTCTGTTTCATTCATACATTTAGGCACTTTGTAAAAGTAATTTTACTATAAAGATGATAAGTATAAAATCTGTTTTCTATTAGCTATTTTTCATGAAGTATGCTTTATTATTTTCCATTAAGTATGTTTCTGTAAGAAAACATTTCTATAAGAAAAATTTCATATTTCTAGAGTCTCTGTTTTCTTGTAGAAAGTACAAGGAGTTACATTCACAAACATAAGTATGTATTGATATCCACATAAGACCATTTATTTGGAAACCACCCTTCTACTTAAGCAAAATTGATACCATTAAGGTTAAATGAATTGTCAGAGTAGATTACAGTTGATGCAGATACATTTACTTAAAGTAAGCATAATTTTAAACAAGGTAAAGAAAATTTTTAGTTCTGAACTTGAAAACTATGTTTAAGCCCCTGGGTTCATATTTCTTTGCTATGAATTTTTGGTTCATCTGAAGCCATTATCAGCTATTTTTAATCTCAGTATACCCATTTACAGGATTATCTTATCAGGGTTTTATGAAAATTTTATAATAATATTCAGGTTATTTTTTTATGTAGTATACTTATACTATTTCTAATGTAACTGTAATTCTACATACAGTAAAATGACTAGTGAAGTTAAATCATTTGTGCTTTTCATATGCAACTAAACAGGTATAACTTCCATTGTTCCAAAAGTGACTGTTTCTTAAACAATGGAACTGTGTTGTTTCACATCTTTCCACTTTGCTTATTTGCAGTGTACTTATTTAACTGCACACCCAGGAATGGGATGCTAGCAACCAAATGGTTTAGTTGCAAAATATAATTTTTAGGCTCCAAACAGGCAATATAATCAGCCTAAACTCAGGTGTCCCTCTATCCTTTTGTCAACACTCCTAATTTTTGCCATATTGGTCATATGTATTATTTAAAGACCAGAAGGATCTGATTCTTGTTTGTATACATAGGAGCTGATTAATAACATTATAAATATTACTTATAAATAGCTTTCTATTTGTGATGTGCATGTGGATAGCTATCTAAAAGAATGTCCCTTTAGTCAGCTTTTTTCTCTTTATGGCATTCATCACTGCCCCATTCTCTCTCTCTCTCTCTCTCATCAGACTGTAAAAGGCACAAGGACAGGGATTTACTTTCTTTGCTATTGTATGCTTAGGACCTAGAATCATGCCTGGCATGCGGTAGACACTTAATAAGTATGGGAGGGAATGAATGAATGCATGCATGATGGATGTTGATGGGAACAATTTAGAATTAATCTGATTCAATCCCTTCTTAATACATATGTGGACATTAGGCTAAGAATGGCTTATCAAATAGATTTCCTATCCATTCATTTATTACTCAATCTTTTTGTTCATCAGATATTTATTTAATACCTACTACCTGCAAAGCATAGTATTACCTGATGTCTAGACCAGAAGAAATAAAACAAAGACCCTGTTAGGGTCAACATTAGTAGGAGAAATCAACACAGAAAGACATAATGAATCTGCCTTTATGCATCTTTATACGTTGAGGGGAGGAAAGAGGTGGCAGCATGATTTGGTATTGAGAGAGGAGGAAGATGCAGAGAAGGATGTAGGATGAGGAACTGCAAGGGCTTGGGGGTAGGAAATGCATAGCCAGGGTCAGGGACTCAGTAATTAAGTATGATGAGCACATGAAATGACTTTGGGAGGGAGTGACAACTCAGTGGTTGGGTTCTGTGCTTTGGCGTCTGAGGACCTGGGTCCAAATCCTTGCTCTGTTGTTTATGAGCTCTATAAATTTGGGCAACTTACCCACTTTTTGCCTCGGTTTCCTTATGTGTAAAGTGGAAATAGTAGAAACTATATATAAAATATATATGAAAAATTATAAAAAATATATGAAATAGATATAAAATCTACTTTATACAGTAGTATGAAGCAAAGATGAAGAGAAATGCAAGTGTACCTTATACATAGTGAGAGCTTTACAGAAGTTTGGACTGTTACAATTATTATATTTAAGAAATGGCATAAGCCAACATTGGCAATGTTGGTTAGGTAAGACTATAAGACTAAAAAACTTAGCATTTGAATTTTATTTTGTATGTATGGGCCACCACTGAGATGATTATGAGTCAGGGAGGCAAATATGTTTGGATTATAGTTTATAGAGAAAGAAGTCTCAGATTGCCAAAGAGGAAAGACCTCCAAGAGGAGGGACAAAGACTTAAGACCTGTTCGGAGGTTGTTATTGGACATTGGCACTGGGGATGATGAGGCAGAGTCTTTAGAGGTTTAATTCAGAGGTGAGACAGTAAGGAAAGTGGAAGGGGCTTCATGGTTCCCAGCTTGGACAACCATGTTCTTAAATAAGGTCATTAAACAAAACTGGATAGAGGAAAATCAGTATCTTTAGCAATTGCTTAGGATAGCATTACAGTCAGATCTTTGATCTTTGGAGCATGGTCCATGGACCAGCAGCATCAGTATCTCCTGGGGGATTGTCAGGCATTTAGAACTTCCAGACTCCACACTAGACCTCCTGAATCAAAATCTGCATGTGAAGCAGCCTCAGGTGATATGTACGTATATTAAAGTTAGACAACAAGAGTCCAGAGCAGGTTTTACAACTATAGCCACCTGACCAAATCTAGCCCACTGTTGGTTTCAGTTTTTTACCGGTCACTAAGAATTTTATTTACATTTTTAAATGCTTGAGGAAAAGTTAAAGGAAAAATAATACTTGGTGGCACATAAAAATTATGTGAAGTTTGAATTTCAGTGTCCTTAAGAAAAGTTTTCCTGGAATATGGCAACATTTGCTTTTCAATGACAGAGTTGAATAGTTGACACAGAGAATGTATGATCCACTAAACCAAATATATTTACTATCTGGCTCTTCACAGAAAGTTTCCTGGCCTGTGATCTAGGGAAAGGACTTGGAAATTAGAAAGACATAGGTTCTGGTCCTAGCATTGCTATTTGCCAATGTGTAGTTAGTTATTTAAGTCTTGTGCCTTGATTTTTCCCACTTGTAAAATGAATATATAATGTCTACCCCATGGGATCATAAGAATGTTCAGGAATAATGCCTCTATTGTACTTATCTTAAAGATTAGCATGCATTAAGTGCTCAGTACATATTGGCTGTTATTCTTATTACTCAATAAAGACATTAATACATGACTGCAGCACATCCCTGGTCCTTAGCTTTTTAATCCTGCATGTTTCCCACTGATGCATCTGTCTCTCTGAGCAGTCACTCTGAGTTACCTTGATTTCTGCTCTTGTCCAACTAACTGATTTTAGAGGAATGCCTGGTAATAAAGAAAATTGCTCCTTTACACCAGTAGTTAAGCCTGTCATGAATAATGATATTAATAACTAATAGCCTACAATGTGGTGTAGAGACGAGGGAGTAATTTATTTTGATATTTTTATGCCATCATAATGAATTTGTTTGTTATTCATTATAACTCTACTTTCAAGGCATAAATCAATGTTGTTTTATATTCTGGGCAGATGCTGTGTGTATTTCCAGAGGTTTTCCAGGGTAAAGAATTAGAATTTATTAATAGTAACACAAGCATGGAGTGTTTTCAACATATTTTACAGGCATAGATAAAAAAATCACTGCCGTGGATGTTTTTCCCAATTTGAGGAAATGCTGCAAATCACCATGCTGGTATTTAATACTAGGACCTTGATTTGAACTTAAATTGAATGTAGATAAACATTTTGGTTATCTCCTCAATTGAAGTATAATTTTTCCTCAAAAGAAAGATAGTGTTTCAAGAAAAATGGAGTGTTTCAGCCTTTTTACCTCTGCCTTTTCTTACTAGCTACATTCTGATATCTCTTCTAGAAAATAGTGATATCCAGGGATGCTTAGTGCAAAGAGCAAGACAACAGCAAAACTGAAAATTTATGTGCTATATTATGTTGCCAATATAATATTTGGGCTGCAGTATTAAGTATCAGATAATTTCCTTAGATAGTCAATTATTGTAACTGTTTTTTCTTAGTACAGTCTTTAAGAGTTAGGAAATAGAGAAATTGACTCAGATTTCTAACACGTTAAAATCACTACAAATAAACCAGAACAGACTCATTTGCCTCAGTATGAAACAGTTTATTTCTTTACAGCTTTGGGGAAACAAGGACGTATGTTTTCTGTTTATGTTCTTATTCTCCATCTCATTTTGCTTTGTTAATCAATAAACATTGTATTTTTCAGATTGGCATCTACTAGAATTCTAGTAAAATTATGTTTCATACTACTGAGGCTGTTTTAAACTTTCATTTAAACTTCTTCAAGTTAAACATTTTCATGTAAGTTCTCTCTAGATCTCAAGTTGTAAAACAGAATGAAAGGATTTTCTACAGTGATTTTAAATATTAAAAATTATATATTATATTTAAATTACAGAAGGTGCAAATTTTCCATAAAGCCCTTAAAATGACAGTTGCTTAAAATAACTACGTATTTGGTTACTAACACATGCCTGGGACTAGCCTATTAGCAAGTGTGCAATATGTGCAAACTGGATATTCCCACAGTTAGCATTCCTAAATTGCTAGTGGAAAAACAAAGTATGCTTGTTTTCTGTATCATATTTAGTATGGTTAATTTGTTATGGATAAGATCTTATTCTCCTATGCCTTATCTTTCCATCCTAGAAACACTAATGTGGTAATATAAATTTCAACTTGGTTAATAAAGGTAGCCAGCATCCATAAGAATATATTGCCATATTATTGAGGTTTCGAAATTGCTATGAACAGTTAAAAAAAAAAAAAGAAAAGAAAACCTGACTGTAGGAAGTTAGGTGGATAAGTGATGATTTGGAGGGAAAAAGCCATGTTTCAAGGAAATTTAACTGAGTATTTCTTACTGAACTGTGTAGTCTCATGAAAACTCTTAGTAACAATGAGTGCACTGTTCTAATTTGAAGCACTTTTATCATACGAGGTGCCTGGAATACCACTGTATATTTCCACATGTGACAATGTGGCCTTGTGTTTCCTTTTGGCACATAGCTCTTAGAGTTTCTAACTTTGGAAGGTGAAGTTGTTTGACAACTTGAATGAGTTATAAAATGGTCATCATTTCTTTTGTTACTGAGTATTTGTGAACATTAGTAATGACATGATTCTGAAAACTGAAAAGAAACAATCATGCAATACACTATTGCAGACTTAATCTGAGTCTGTTTTGAATTCTCGGGGAAATGAAACCCTGGCTACCTCACTGGGGATATTACTCTTTAATCTAGTGATTGCATAATCTTGAATGCACACCCTAGACATTACAGTAAAGGCAAGGAGTTGATCATTGAAAACATTTGCATCAAATACCTGCAGAATTCTGTATTCTGTATGGTTAGAGCCAAACTAACATGGTTCCATAATAAAGTTCTTCCGTTTCTGTAACATAACAATACTTTGTTGTGGATGGCTACTAAGAGGTTTATTCAAAAGAAGCAGCAGGGATGTGATTTAGAAATGCTAGAACCTGCCCTGCAATTACAGCTACTAAAAATCGTAGTTGACCAAATGTGTTTGAAAAGATGCCATCATATTTTATGGATTTAACAAGTGTATACCCAATACATTTAGCTTGTGACTGGCTTGGAAAGGCTCCTAAGAGAGTAAAATACCTCCTTCTATTCCTGCCTGGTTTTATTTTTTTACTTACTGCTTTTAGACAGAAAGCTGAGACTCAAAAGTTAGACTAAGTTGTAGCAAATTAAGTGTTTCCTAGGAAGGGAGTCAATAGGAGAAGCAAACAAGGTTGCTTAGCACATCTTCACACGACATGCTAGAATAGACTCAGAAATAAGGATTTCTGAGGACATGGGATCTACACAGATTGCTTAAATGAAGACATTTTTATAAAGATGTGACCATGTAAAGAGCACGCACAGGCATGTTGGGGCATCAGAGACTACCAACTCCGGCAGTCTTTAGCAGAGAGGGGACTTCCTACGAAGCTGATCAAGGTCAGGCTTACGGTCCCTCACATTGAACAGAACCTTCCCAAGGCCCCGAGAGGGGCCAGCAATGTGTTTGCATGGGCCATATTACTTCAAATAAAATTTATAAGTTTAATTATACAAGTTTGGGCTCCCTAAAACCTGGATATGCCTCTGACCTTTAACTCTCCTTTGACTGAAGAGGAGACTGACATGGAGAAGACACGGTGTTTCGTGAGCCTCTAGAGAACTGGCGTCACAGGTTAAGGCGAGGAGGGGAGCTACCCAGTAGGACGTGAAGCTGTAGAGACACAGATGCTTCTAGGAGGGCAACCCAGAAACAGGGAGGGAGTAGGAAGGAAATCCCTGGAATCTTCTCTTATCCCATTTTTTTTTGGTTCCTGGTGATGTTTTCCATTGGCTAAATCCAATGGGCAGGAGCTGGGTGAGGCTGTCCAAGGGCATCCTAAGGTGCAGAGTGGAGAGACAGATGAGAATGAACTAGAGGGGTTGGGGCGCAGGGAAGGCAGAAGAGGCAGCAGAATAGTGAAAATATCAACACTGTGACCCGGTTTCTGATTTGGATGGTTTAAATGTACAGTTGGGTGCTTTGGAGTCTCTTAGAGAGCTTGGGGGTGGGGCTTTGTTATGGTAGATTCTGAAAAGCGTAAAATGCAATACAGTGTTAGAGTTGTACTGCAGCCTTTGTTTTGTACAACAGCCTCGGTCAGAACAAGGAACAGCGCACATGGAGTGACTGTGGGCCAGTGTGTTGAACCCCGCGGGAAGTTGTGACGGGGAATCGGAAGGAAATGACCATGAGTTATAAACAAAATTATTCAATCTACGGATACTTTCCAGATGAACAACTAACTTTTAGCCTGAGCTTTCGTTAATAACTGTTCAAATATTTACACATATCACTGATGAATGGAGTGAATGTTAGACTCCTGAGGAGCTGCCTTGGACCTGAAGATAACGGCTTTCTGCTAGAGCAAAAGGGAAAGAACTTATTTTTCACAAGCAAGATTGTTAAGCTCCATCGTTTTCCTTCTCACTTCTGAGGTAGAGTCTATTTTTGTGATTTTCAATCATTTGGAGTCAGCTTTCCAGTTTCCCTTTGACTGTTGTCTCCATCACTGTACATATCCCACTGTTCCTTATTTGGGTAACAGATGTTTTCTTCAGAATCTGTCTTAAGCCTATGTTTTGCAAACTGGAATGTATTTTGCTTGTATATCTTGATCTTTGCTTTAAGAAAAACTGTGTGATATGTATCAGTGGTAAAGAACCCTTTTATAATGTAGGGCACCATATCCCATATTCTTAAGTTATCTGTTTATCATATACCCTAGCTTCATATTCCAGACCTTACTCTTTTTTTATATTTGTTTTCCAGTAAAAAAGAACAGCATGTAGGCACCATAAGGTTTTGTTTGTGCTGTTCCCTGTTCCTGACATACCCTTCCTGCTTTTAGTCATTCAACTAACTCTTACTCATCTTGACCTGAATCTTGATCTGATATCCCTTATAAGAAACCATGCCCCAATATCTGTGTACCTTTATTTCCTCATTCACATGGCATATGTCATATCAAATCTGTGTGTTTGACTCTGCCTCCTAGACCATACAGTTTTCAGAGTCAGGGAAAAGATCTACTTCCAATTAATATTGAGAGTATTCAGAATCTGTCATGAAACAGGTCATCTATAAGTATTTGTTGAACTGAACAATTGTATAATTGTAAAAATTCATTTTCCCCAAAGTTGGAAACACTGTGTAATCCTCAAGGTAGCTCTAGTGTCCTAGTTAAAACTTAGTCCAATGTGTAAAATTTAATTATCTCTCTCTGATTAATTGGCTCCTGAGATGACTTTTGGATTTTCCCTGTGCTTGGGGTAAAATTAGACCAGTAAGTGTCTGCTTCATCATACTAAGCTACCTGCTAGAGCAAGCTGTACTTTATGTTAAGATTAAATTGCAGATTAGGAATATCTTTTATGTGAAGTATTAGAGAAGGGAACTAACCCCGATCATCACTGTCATGTCAAGTCCACGGTGAATAAGGTGGCAAAAACAATGGCCATTATCACACTGGATTCTCATGCACACTACGTAATTTGGAGAAAATAGGGATCTTACTGTCGTTTTTTAGCCAAGAGAGATCACATAATTTTCCCAAGGTTACCATTCTGGAGGAAGCAGGATTTAAACACTGGCCTTTTTGAAATAGGTCCAGTGTTTTCTGTCCTTTATTCCAAGATGTCTCTCAGCCCTGAGAAAAGGCTCCAATCACAATCAGGTATTATTTTAACTTACATCTGACCAATACTTACTCCCACATATGGCTTTGATGAGGATCTGGTCTCTCCTTTAAGGCCATCTTGGGCATTGGGCAAATGAAAATATACATTTTCATCCATCTATTGAAAGTCGCCTTTAAGGTGGTGTTGGAGAGAAAGGGAGTCTATGAAGAAGTAGATAAATGTTAGAGATTGATGATATGTTGAGCATGTGACTTTTCTTAGGGCAAGGAAACAGACTTTTGATTTCAGAGAATAGTTGTATTGGTATTCTTTAAGACGTATGAAATATATACTTTTGTAGGAGGTGGATTAAAAATCTACTTTGAGTCTTATACCTATGATAAGTCAATTTGCCAATGAAGTGGTTGAGGGTTGGACTATTTCCTATCTGCTTTCCTAAGTACACAACTATTTTATACCTTGCTAGGCATCATCCATTTCAGAGGAGAGCACTTTTGAAATGATTTTCCCTCTAAACTCAATCACATTTTTAGTGCACTGTGAAGTTCATTTGAATAATAGGCTTTATTTTCTATGTGCTTTCAGCAGAGTTGTGGGCACGGAAAGAAAACAAGGCAGATTTGTAGGGGTAGCCACGAAGTGAAAAATATGCATTTAAGTGGTGATGGCATATGATTGTTTTATTCCCACACCTCTTATGGATAATTTCCCAGGGTTTTATGGATTGGGAGAAGGGGTAACTCTTGTCCTTGAATTCACATCAGGACACCATGACATTTTACAATATAGATTCTAGGAAAGGAAAAACAAAACAAAACATCTTGAGCTCTGCAGAATCTAAAGAGGTCCCACAAAATGGAATCTATTTGCTTAAAATGATAGGGAGTTTGTTTACTGGATTAAGTGTGAAGTATGTTGATAACAGATGGAACCTCTGATCACATGACATATTTAAATAGTCTAAGGATAACCTCTATGTCCTGGTCAATGTTCCTTCTCTCGATTAACGCCAGTGCTAATTAACTGGCACAAGTGTTTCTAGCCATATGGGGGACGTTGCTGAAAGCCGGCTGGCAGCCTATATCCAGCCACTACCTGTATGTAATTTAGTGTCCTGCTTGGTGCTTTGGGACTTCCACAATGGAACAGCCCAGCACAGAGACAGCCGATGGTTGCAAGCGTCATGATGTTTTCTTTGTTTCTTTAGTGCACCTCATTCCAAATGTGATTGACAAATTAGAAATTGCAGTGACTTTCTGCAGGATAAGTGAGGCTGTACTTGGCCCATATCTGCATGAGGGCTTCTTGAATTTTTGAGTGGTCTATTAGCTGATCTTTATTCTGGTTTCCTAATAATGGGCAGCTAATTCAGAAATGATCTTCATTGAACTCGTACTGTGCCACTCAGCTATTTGCCTTATGACTTGAAATATGAGGGATAGAAATAGTTTAGACCAACAGGGGGTTATGTGCCTTGAGAATTAGGTCAAAAGTCCATATGCAGCTATAATTCTCATAGGAAGCAGGTGTACTGGGAGAAGAATGTCACTTGTATTGGTCCCCAGTCTTTCCACCCTGGGAGCTTCCGTGAACTGGCTTGGGAAACAGAAGCTTTAGGTTTAACAATGTCAGCCTTCTCTAAGCCAACCCTAATAAGAACAAAATCAAAGTTAAACTAGAATGACCATAAAACTGATCATCAAAATGGATCACTTGAAAGTGAAAAGAGGAGTTTATAATAATTACTTAGCATCCACAGGCATAAAGAGGGTCTCACCTGGGCACACCAGGATGTGTGGTGTCTGTAAGTAAGGGCAATGTGCTCACTTCGCAAATGCAGCTTCAAGACGAGCCTCATAAAGCTCATACAGTGCAGGAAGCTGCTTCTTAGAACTGTAGAAGGGATTAAATGAGATGTGTGTAGAACCTCTACAAGGGGGACAGTGCCCCTGGAGTTGCCCCTTGGTAAATGTCTCTGTTCTCCTTCCCCCTCCTCCCTTCCTTAGGTAGAAAATTGTACTATTTTGAAGAAAATAAGTAAACATTTTCAAAGGGACCATAGTTTGATATTCCTTACTAACTGCTGAAGTCTTTGAAGTTAGTCACAAAAGGCTTCTGAATCATTTATCCTGACCACATGGTGCCTGGACGGAGTAGTGCTCAGCAAACATTTGTTGGATAGATGAATGGATTAAAGAGTAAAAGAATAGCCAACCTTCCCTAGCAGGGGTTTTGCAGACAAAGAGGAATGTGGTTGTATTCTGGGCTGATAAGAATTCAGGAAGCAGGAGAACCTAAAGTGGTCTTTCCCAAATGGTAATTTAGACTGAGTGGCACAATAAGAATGCTCTTCATGAGGCTTTGTCGTAAGCAAGGAAGAGTTGGGCCCTCCTGTCCCTACTTGGCTCCCCAGTTCCTGCTGAGTTTCTGAGATGGAGAGGAAGCAAATATGGAGCCCAGGACAGCAGGGAGGGAGAAACACATGTAATTCCCTTGCGCCCACACTCTGCCTCCCACACCAGCAATTATGTAGCTCTTCTCTTCTAAGGGCCGTTCTAACAGGCTGCCACATGCCCAGGGTGCAGTGGACAGTCCCAGCAGCCTGAGAATGACAGCTCTTCTGCTGGACCTGAGAGGTGCTAGAGCCCCACACGTTATGTCTGTGAAATCTGATGGGTCATGTCTCGACTCAGCGGCTTTTGTTTCCTGTCTGCACTAAGAGATAGTAAGCAAGCTTTGGGAAATGGGGCATAAGCAGATAGTCTTGAGGAAAATATGGATATGATCTGAGCAGTGGACCAGAGCACAAGCTCTGGGGGCATCCTGTCCAGGTTCAAATCCCACCTCCACTAATCAGTCATAGCGTGACCATGGGCAGACTGATCAAATTCTTCAAGTCTCCATTTTTACATCTATTGAACAGTGCTAAAAATTGTATCTACTTTAAAGAACTGTTTTGAAGAAAATATCAGATAATCTATGCTTGGCACATACAATAATTATTAGCTGCCATGTTTCTTCTTAGTACTGGTAAGATCATCACCATTAGCTTCATTACTGGTGGGTTCTGAACCTGACCCTTCATTATATAAAATTCTCTCAATGAGGTGATTGCTCCCAGTTAGCAGGCACCAGGGACCCTCGGGGGAAAAAGTAGATATTGTAAGACAGGGAATTGTCACATCAAGTATATTACATGCTCCAACAGCCAGAGGCTGATTAGTACAAATCGAATTTTGCACCAACCTGCCAGAGGCAGAGTGAACAACTGGGCTCCAGGTTCAGTTTGATTGTGTGTAAGGCAGCATTTACACCAGAGGTGTCATGTGAATATTAAAAAATACTATAGCAGTTTATAGTTTGTAGTAATTGATAACAACAAATACATACATACATACATATATTTAAAAATATTTTTTACTTCCCCACCAAGAAAGAAATATATCTACCTGAAAACTACTCTTATACTTGAAATCTGGAGGCCAAGATCTGCCCTAGAGGGAAAAAAAAAAAAAAAGAAAAAGAATTAATCCTCTATACTTTTAGAGCAGGCTTTATCGACGTCTACTTCCCATTCTTGCATGTCTGGGTTGCACTGTGCCTTTGCTCTCCCAACTAATATTATTCTACTGTCAAGTTCCTGGCACGCCAGAGTAGGAAAGAATTTTTCTGTACTTTGAGCTTGATCTGGGCCCTGGGAAATCCTCCTGTCCTGGATTTGTAGCCTCCTGATGCCGTTCTTCAAGCTGAAGCCACTGTGCCCTTGTGCCTGGCATTTTGGCAATTGTTAGAGCCAGCCCTGCTTTGGTTCATGAGGGGCTCCACTTGATGCAGACGAAAAGTGAATTTCTCCTTTGTGCTTCCATTTGTGGCTCAAGCGCGATGAAAATAGAACCTGCTTTAATCTTGCTGAGCCTGACAAAGAGATAGCTCCCAGACTGTAAGTCAGCATTTGCCCATACGATTGTTTAGCAAAATCTATTTTTAAAAGTCCATCAATTCTACTGGTAGACAAAATGGGTACTGTTTTTTGGGGGAATGGGAGGAAACACATACCCCATTATGATCTGTCAAGGAATGAAGCGAGAGCCATTGCCCACCTCTCCTCACACGCTCTCTCTCCGGGAGCGTGGCATCCTAACGCTCTCTGTGCCCAGTTATGATATGGAGGGCATTGACGCTGCCCCGGGGAGGCGGGAGGGGCCGGCCTGTCATTCTGTGACCGCCTCCAGCTGTGCTGGGTTGTGCTGGTTCTGCATCTCCAGCCGTTGGTGACTCACATCTGCAAGTCACATGAGGCTGACCGTGATGACATGTGCGTCACTGGTGTTGGAAATACAAACTCAGAAATCAGGTTAGGCTTCTTTTGGTCTTTTGTTCCTCTTTCTATGCAATGTGAGCAGATCAAGAAGGCTTAATGAGGGTTTTATTAATCAGGAATTAAAAAAAAACAAACTTGGGGTCTTGGTGAGAATGAAAGGACCCAGATTGTTGTAAAGATATAAAGGGCAGGCTTTATGTCTGTCACATGCGTATGCCCAGAGCTTCCCTGACCCTGTGCTTTGCTCATGCTGGCTCTCCTGCTAGGACCCCTCTCCGTCCCTCCTCCGTCCCCAGCTGTCATCTTACAGCTTCATCCTTACCTCTCTCTTAAAATTCCGTCCTAATGATTGCATGTTCTGGTCACTTGCCTGCTCCCCAGAGTTCATTTTAGTGTATCTATTACCCTGCTGAACTGGGTGGTTTGCAACTTTTCAGCAGCTTTTTTGTCCCTTGTCTCTTTAGCTAGACTGTAAATTATTTGCAGGACAGGATAATTTCCTATGTATCTTTGCTATGTATCATCTGTGTATGTATGCATGTTTATTTATTTTTTATTAATATTTCAATAAGTATGATATATTTTCATTGTCTACAATTATGAATAGACATAGACAAAAATAAATTTAAAATAATTGAAAGTATACATCTTAAAATGGCAAACATTGTTCACCTTCTGTTATAGCTTCTCATATATACATCTATCTATATATATCTATAATATACACACATACATATAATATATATATATAATGTTGATATATATGTATATATATATTTAATCACTCCATCTGGGTGATAGAGACAGGAAGAGAAGTGAGGGGAGAGCAATGTATTTTCTGCATTAACTCCTGAATCTTAGGAACAAACCTATGGGATATATGCAATGGTCACTGCTTTAGAGATGAAGAAACTGAGGTTCAGAGCTGTGAAGTGACTTTCCTAAGGTCATATAGCTAATAAATGAGAGAGCATGATATACATAGTATTTTCTAATCTACTTTTTCTTTCACTTGACAACATAGGAACCCATTGATTTATTTAACAGATATTTATTAAGTACTTGGTATGTGTCATACATAGTGTTAAGAGAATTTTGCACAGAATCGAATTTAGCCTGCTCTGAAGAAGGGAGATGGGACAAATGAAAAATCAGATAATGTGGTCTGTGCTCCATGGTAAGAGAAGTTCAGGGTACTGTGGGGGTAGGGAGCATGGCAACACCTGACCTGGAAGTAGTGTGCATACTTACTTATCACCACTATTCATGACTGCATAATTTCAATGTAACTTTTTATTTAAGAAGAGTTTTAAACTTATGGAAAAGTTGTAAAGCTTGTTCAGAGAATTCCTATACACCTTATACCCAGTTTCACCTAATTTAATATCTTACATTACTGTGGCATGCCTGTCACAACTAATGAGCCCATATTGATACATTACTATTAACTAAACCCACTCTTTAATCAGACTTCATTAGTTTTCCCTAATGCCCTTTTTCTGTTCCAGGGTCCCACCCAGGATAACACATTACATTTAGTCATCATGTCTCCACACACTTTTCTAGGCTATGACAATTTCTAAGGATCTCCTTATTTTTTATGATTTTTGACAATTTTGAAGACTACTAATCAGATATAGGATGTGTACATCACATTCTATAATACTCAGTTGACTGTACCTAATGCTTTTCTCATGGGTTTTGGGGAGGAAGCCCACAAAGGTGAAGTACCATTCTCAACAGTCATGTCAAGGGTACATGCTATCACCGTGAAGTATGATGATGTTAATCTTGATCACTTTGCTAAGGTTTGTGGGTCAGACTGCTGCCTTGCACCCTATATTTCATGTTGCCCTCTTTGGAAACAAGTAACTAAGTATAACCCACACTTGAGGGGTGCAGAGTTATGTTCCACTTCCTTGGCAGGAAGCGTGATTGCAATTTTACGCTGCATGGATATTCCACAACTGAATTCTCCAAACCCCTACTGATAAACATTGAGGTTTTTCCACTGGTATCAACTGCTTAAAGCAAATGCCATGTGAATATCCTTTGCAAATATTCCTGAACCCCTCAAATTCTTTTCTTTAGAATAAACTCTTCTACACCAACTTTGGTAGGCATTTTCAAAAGTCTTTAAACTTACCTTGGTAAATTACTCTCTAGAACGCTAATACCTGTTTCAACTGGTGAGTGCTAGCTTCCTCAAACCATAGCGATGTTGTGGATTATCCCTTTCCATCCTTGATGATTAGGTAAGTAGAGAATTTAAGCATGTAGTATAAATACAATTAAAAGAAGGATATAGAGTCAAAGTCCTATTTTGACTGTGAAATCATAATCACTTCCTTATTTTATGATGGAACAAACTCAGTTTGACTAAAAACTTAATTTAGTGGGTATTTGCTGGACCATTTCTGGATAGGTAAATAGTTCCTACTCCCAAGGATATTTTAGTCTAGTGATGAAAGCAACATGAAGAAGCGCAACTTTTCCTTGCAACTTGAAAAATACCTACAGTTCAAATTGTACTTACATTTACTCCATTAAAAAGTCACAAAATATCTCTTAGACTGTCCACATGACTTTTCATGCTGAAACAATGGTGAAGATTGCTTGAATATTCTATAGTGCTAAAATTTACTTAACATGACATTTAGAGGCCTACATAGATGGAGTGATTATTGGTGCATGAAGGCACCTATATTCCAGACAGAAATTGTTTATGAAAATATTAGACTCTAAACAGGTCTTCAGTGAGGAAACCTGGCTTTGTGAGTTCACAGATGCCAAATGGGAGGTGATTATGAAAGAGTGATGAATTCCAAGATTCAGTGCTACATTGCCTAAGTTTAGATTCCCAAAGGGACGAATGTGGGAGTGATAAATGGGATATGGTGAAACAGAGCTTCAGATTCAGTAAATTTGGAAGTGAATTTTCAATAAATATCAGCAATGTGGGCTTTCAAAAAGTTGAGATTTTATTTCCCTAAACCCTATTTATTATTTGGGATGAACTTAATGTAGTACATCTAGATTGGTTACCAGAGCAACAGGAAACAAAATATCCAGGAATATTAACAGCAAAATCCACTGGTTCTGTTGAATCTGATGATGCAGAATTGATAAGACACTGGGAATCACTTAGTTAACAAAGTCTAAATATTGATACAAATTCCTTTCCCAGAGGGACATTTTCAACTTTTCTTTGGTCAGTTCAATTATTTCTTCCTCTCACCGCTCATAGGTTTTTGTGTGTCCCAGTGAGGACTGCACTGTAGATGGTGCTATTTTAGAGCACACTTGGGTCAGCATGGCAAGAAGTGAAATCTGAAAATCCTTTCATTAGGTTGAAAAACCATGAAATTATAGTTCTTTTCCCTCCCCCTCATTCTTATTCCTGTGCTCTTTGGAAACACCTTGACTTCTGCAATGTGAAAATTATATCGGCTTATATTATGTGGTGTTCTTGGATGATGAATTTAGGAGCTAAATTTTTTCCCCTAAGCTTAGAGTAGGGAGGGCAAAGAGCTCTGGCCACGCTCTGAAACAATGGCAGTTTTTTAGTTTCCAAATCCAATTAAAATAATTCTTAGTAGTAGTACAGGCAAGTAGGAAAAGGAAAGATATTATAGTCATTCTTTATAATGTAATTGTAGTGGTGGTCAGCATTGTGACTTGGGCTCATGCACTGCGTTTTTTTAGTGATGGTGCCCAACATGTATCCAGGGAAATAACACCTAAAAGGATCGATGGACATGGAGCCCAGTTAGTGGTGACACTCTGCCCTAGGACTGTACATGGCCCCCATAAAGCTAGAACAGTCTTGCATCAGAATTCCTACACCAAAAGCAACACTAGGTGCCCTCTGACATGGAAATCCATCACCAGAGTCATTCTCCTTTCTAAAATGAGTATGTGTAAAATGGAATATATATCCTATCTGTGGAGTTTATAAGTCCCTTCAGGGACAAGGTTAAAGGTGGGTCATTATTTCCATTTTTGAAGGTAATACCGATATTCTTTGTTTATATCAGTATATCTGATCCAGTCTGATGGGTATCACGCTCTCATCTACAAGTTGGATTTTTACTTTCTCTCTTACAAAGTGATGTGGATTGGGTAATCCATTTTAGACATAAGGCATTGAAGACATCTACTTTCAGTGATTCAGAGTTCTGTTTTTGCCAAGGTCTCTGTTTAACAAACATTAATTCTATAAGACATTCTAGCTAAAGCTACATTTTCATCTATGGTTTGGGGACACTACTTTACCTCTGAGACTTAAAAGTTGATCTGTTTCATAGAGAACTAAGTTGTGTTCTAGACTCTGGAGGGAAGTAGTCTTATGCTGGGGCTTTTAAGTATCAGTCAACCAAGAAAGACCCAGGCAAATTGGAATCAGATCTTATAAGCTGACTTTTTGTGAGGTCCAGGTCAAGTTTGTCAGAAAGCCCACAAAATGAGACAATTCCATGAGCTAACTACAAAACAAAAACAAAAACAATGAGAACGTACAGACATGCTTGAATTTATGAGATAAAAATGTCTCATGGATTAGTTTTGTTTGTGTCTTCTAGTTTTATGATGTTGGTACTACTGGCCATACAATTACTATTCATTTGATATTATCATAAGCATGGAGAGTCAGTGCTTCAGTAAAGATTAGGTATCTCTTTTTTACTTCTTTTTAATTTAAGAGTGGGAACCATAGCATATTGTCAAATGGAAATCTAGAATATGTTGCAACTTGTCTTCCTTCCTTTGACAATTGCCTGTTGAGGTCACCTGAAAAATTTCAACTTATCTTTTAAGACTTAAATGAAATGCTACCTCCTTCTGGAAGTTTCCCTGAAGCTAATGGAAGAGTTGGCACTTT